AGAAATGTCTTCTGTACTCGATTTTGCTCGATCGACTTCCAAATGCCATTACGGAGTTTCGAAAACCTTCGAAGCTCCAAACGTTCAACTACCCGCTAGTACTTCCTAGCGATTAAGTGGACCTTGAATTTCCAGAATTTTCTGCTGTGCCCGACATAAAACTAAATTTTCAAAATTCTCAAAATTTCGGCAATTTCTGGAGTTACGAGAGTTTAAGGAATTTCGATTGATTAACCAGTTCCTGGAACTCCTCAGAGTTTCAATAGATCCTGGATTTCTGTTCGTTTATTTGTTCCTCGATGTTGGGAGCAAGGTTTGGATTTCCTGAAATTCCGAAAGTTCGACAACTCTGCCGGAAATGTCAGTACTCACGACTCCAAAATCATTCGTAGTTCCTTGCAGCTCCTGGTCCTGGTCGAACTTGTACAACTTTTACAACTGGGTACAATTAAGGATCTGCCTGAACTTTCGAAACCACCCGATTATTCTTGGAACTCCGGCAAAGTTTTTGAATCCCTTCAACTTCTGGAGTCAATGGTGTTCTCCAGTAAATAACAAAACCCACGGTTCTCCCGGAATTGATGGAATTGCGGTACACAAAAAGAAAACTCGAATCGGTCTGTGGAGTTCTCCGGAATGCTCCCAAAATCCCCATCCGTCCATAAGTGCCTAGAGTAACTTGTTTTTGAAAACCTTTTAGAGTTCATGGATTCATAGTGTAAAAGCAGCTCCGTGACATACGATGTCTATCGCCTAACTTCAACTTCCTTGGTAATTGTCCCTGTCCTACTTCAGCGGTCGTCCCGAACCAAAGTCAAACTGGAGCCTTCAATCGTAGTTTTCAAGCCTCTTCCATTGAAACTTCTCCCAAAAGTCGTCTTTAGCTTGGTTGGCAGCTTCGGTGGTCGTCGCGATCAACTTTCGTGGTTCTCCCAATCCACCTTAAGTAATAACTACTTGAGTGGTTATCCCGAAGAAAAACTAAAATGGGAACCTTCAACCGTAGTTTTTAGAATCTTCCATTGCAACTCGCCCAGAAGTTGCCTGACAGCTTCGGTGGTCGTCCCAATCCACCTTGACTAATAACTACTTGAGTGGCCATCCCGAACCAATCTCAAACTGAAGTCTTCAATCGTAGTTTTTAAGCCTCTTCTATTGAAATTTCTCTCAGAAGTCGTTTCTTGCTGACAGCTTCGGTGGTCGTTCCTATCGACTTTTGAGATCGTTCCAATCCATCTTGAGTAATAACTACTTGAGTGGGTGTCCCGAACCATGCTCAAACTGGAGTCTTCAACCGTAGTTTTCAATGGAATAAAACTTCTCTTCAAAGTCGTCTTAAGCTTGGTTGGCAGATTTGGTGGTCGTCCCAATCCGCCTTGAGTAATAACTAATTGAGTGGTCATCCCGAACCAATTTCAAACTGGAGCTTCCAATCGTAGTTTTAAGTCTTTTCCACTCAAACTTCTCCAAGAGATCGCTTCTTGCTGGCAGCTTCGGTGGTTATCCCGAACCACTTCCATGGTTGTATCAACCCATCTTAAGTAATAATAATTCGAGTGGTCGTCCCAACCCATACTCAAACTAGAGTCTTCATCGTAGTTTTTTGCATCTTCCATTAAAAATTCTCCCAGAAGTCGTCTTTAGCTTGGTTGGCAGCTTCGGTGGTCGTCCCTATCGACTTTCGTGGTTCTCCCAATCCACCTTAAGTAATAACAACTCGAGTGGTTATCCCCAAGAAAAACTAAAATGGGAACCTTCAACCGTAGTTTTTAGAATCTTCCATTGCAACTCGCCCAGAAGTCGCCTGACAGCTTCGGTGGTCGTCCCAATCCACCTTGACTAATAACTACTGGAGTGGCCATCCCGAACCAATCTCAAACTGAAGTCTTCAATCGTAGTTTTTAAGCCTCTTCCATTGAAATTTCTCTCAGAAGTCGTTTCTTGCTGACAGCTTCGGTGGTCGTTCCTATCGACTTTTGAGATTGTCCCAATCCATCTTGAGTAATAACTACTTGAGTGGGTGTCCCGAACCATGCTCAAACTGGAGTCTTCAACCGTAGTTTTCAATGGAATAAAACTTCTCTTCAAAGTCGTCTTAAGCTTGGTTGGCAGATTTGGTGCTCGTCCCAATCCGCCTTGAGTAATAACTAATTGGGTGGTCATCCCGAACCAATTTCAAACTGGAGCTTCCAATCGTAGTTTTAAGTCTTTTCCACTGAAACTTCTCCAAGAGATCGCTTCTTGCTGGCAGCTTCGGTGGTTATCCCGAACCACTTCCATGGTTGTATCAACCCATCTTAAGTAATAATAATTCGAGTGGTCGTCCCAACCCATACTCAAACTAGAGTCTTCAATCGTAGTTTTTTGCATCTTCCATTAAAACTTCTCCCAGAAGTCGTCTTTAGCTTGGTTGGCAGCTTCGGTGGTCGTCGCGATCAACTTTCGTGGTTCTCCCAATCCACCTTAATAATAACTACTTGAGTGGTTATACCGAATAAAAACTAAAATGGGAACCTTCAACCGTAGTTTTTAGCATCTTCCATTGCAACTCGCCCAGAAGTCGCGTGACAGCTTCGGTGGTTGTCCCAAGCCACCATGAGTAATAACTACTTGAGTGGTCGTCCCGGACCAATCTCAAACTGGAGTCTTACATCGTAGTTTTTAAGCCTCTTCAATTGAAATTTCTCTCAGAAGTCGTTTCTTGCTGACAGCTTCGGTGGTCGTCCCTATCAACTTTTGTGATTGTCCCAATACATCTTGAGTAATAACTACTTGAGTGGGTGTCCTGAACCGTACTCAAACTGGAACCGTCATTCGTAGGTTTTAAGCTTCTTGCATTGCAACTCATCCCAGCAGTCGTCTTTTGCTTGGTTGGCAGCTTCGGTGGTCGTCCCAATCCATCTTGAGTGGTCATCCCGAACAAATCTCAAGCTGGAGTCTTCAACCGTAGTTTTTAGCCTAGGGTTATTGAAAAAATTTCCATCCAGCAAAATTTAACTGAAAATACACCAAATCAAACTCAGCCTAAAACAGTGACTGAGATATCAACAACCTGAGTGAAATCGAGCTGACATCCGTCATTCCAAAGGGAACATTATTCAAAGGTCATATTGCTTTCCTTCCTAGCCAAACCAAACCTGCCAAAAATAGGACAGCCCGCTGGCTATTTTGAATCGGATCAACATGCCAAAATAAACCCACTCCGTTCGGTCGGCCCCAAACTCTCCGAGCCACCTTGCCTGAGAAATCCGACCGGATCTTGCTCTTAGCTCGTCGCATTCGGGTAGCATGCAGCTCACCTCTGGCCAAATGTTGGCACCGAGTCAATGCACGCGCCGGTGAAAATCGTTATAAAACGGATAGCAGCAGCAGCAGCAGCAGCAGCTCTAAATATGCCGCGAATCAAGTGGAAAATTTAGAACAAATGCATATATTTTCGTGCCAAAATAGCTTGATGCGCAATCGGACAAATACCACCTGTAAAAAAACCAACGACTGTTTACTGTTAGTAAAGTAGGCATGGGGGTGTTGCATTGAAGTGCGTGTCGCACGCGCGTGCCCGAAAATGTTGCGCGACATCGATATTGCTGTTGCACAAATAACCCGTCAAAACCCGTCAAGATCAAATATCAAAACAAACATCTAGCCAAACAACAATCAGCTGACAGCCATGATGAATTCATTCGCATGCTGTTGCACACAGAAATTCCACCGCTGCTCCGTTTACAAAGGTTGCTGCGGGAGACGAGGTAGGGGGAGAGAGTAAAAATTCGCTAAAATTGCCACGGCCTCATTACCATCACAATCAAAACAACCTTGCGCGTATAAAAAGCGAATGCAAGCGTCATGGTGGTATTCGTTTGTGCAAAATTTACAGCCCCCGATCGTATTCGTTTGCTGGTATGCGTCGAGAGTGCAGATTTTCGCGATCTTTTATTTTTGTTTTCATTTTCGTTGCATCCGCCGAGTCCGCACAGCCCCATCATCATCATCATCTTTTGACACATAACAATATAGTTGTTACATACGCGCTCGAAAGCAAAGCAGGCCTTTTCTGCAAAACCGGTCCTCGCTCGGAGCGCGCATCTTTTTTTTTGCGAGGTTCGTCTTTGTATTGGTGCGGCTGTGCAACGATGCGGCGGACGATCAACTACCGTGCGCGGGATGCGGTAGATCGTTGCCCAAGGTCAGGGATCTTGATATTTTTGGCGCTCGGCAATCGGTTTCTTTCGATGTGGTGAAGGAGAAGGAGAGTGGATTTCGCGATTCTTTTTTTTTTGGCTTGGCTGTGCAGTTGACCAATACAGTCAGATAAAAGATGGTGCAGCAAGGCAATTTGCGAATGTCTAGACGGGTGTGGGTCGGTCAGCAGAAAGGAGAAGTGCTGAGTAATGGAAGCTAATTTTCGGGTTTTTGCGAGGGGCGCGCACTTCCAGGTATGAGTGCGTGATATTTAAAATACGTCGTAGTAATTCGAATAATTTGAAGGCAGTGATAATTTGAATTTAAATACTTTCAGCGGTATTGACAGTAATCCACAAATAATTAACGATAGTTAATGTAATGAAAATAATTAATATATCAAATTTTGTCAGTTATTAAAGTAGAGTGCCTTTAAAGTAATGGCAAGATTATAAATATTTGGTCAGCAGGCAGCGTAGTATCGAAAGACTAGAACGTGCCCCTCGGGTTTTTGTTTAGGGTGCGGCAGACGGAAGAATAGCTTTTCAAAATCGGCGGCGTGTCTGGGTGGTTAAATTATGAAGAGGCACAGTGGTTCCCTGTTAATTCGAAGGTAAGATGACCGATAATGATTTCTCTTGAATCCCTGAACCTGGTCCTCTCTTGTACGAACTCTAGTATTTAAAGAAAAAAAAACTAATTTCGGCTCCGTAAAGCTTCCGCATTAGAGCCTTGCCAAATAAATGCTTGATAAAACAAAAAATCTACCCAGTTGCAACTGTACTGTCCGGATCGCCGGAAGGTATTACAACACTTACCCATTTTGTTGCGTGAGTGAGAATGGCACATCGATGCTGTGTGATTGTCGTCGGCGGTCGCCGGCCATGTCCGCCAGCCGGGCAAAGTCCGTGTCCTTCTCCTGATCGGCCAACCGCGGTGAACGGCGCGACTCCAGCAGGCGAACTTCTTCGAGACGTTTGGTCAGCTCGATCGGGGCCTGGAAGAAACACAGATAGAGAAGAAGATGGGGAAACGTCAAAATGTGTTTATTCGTACAAACAAATCGCAGTTCGCATTTGCTAGGAATTGCGATACTCCAGCTTTGGTGGTGCCACGCAAGAATAAGGCAAGCAGTGAGGTAAATCGAATGTTTGTGCATGCAAAATGAATGACTTTTTCGGACCGGCTCAAGGTGAATCATCCATTTTTGGCCAGCTGGCCATGGTCCACCACCCGATGCAGGCAACAGTGGACGGCGGGTGGCCAGAAATAGCTTTCTCTCGCTGAATGATGATTTAAGCGCAAGTAGCTAACAACAGGATGGTGCATTTAGCTCGTTGCAGCAGCTGGTTGCTTTGGTCATGAGCCGGTCGCGGTGATGAAAGATGTGAGCAGGCAAAAAAGTGAAAATAAAATACATATAAATAGAGCTACAACGGTGAGGAATGTGATGTAATTCTTGCACCATCGGCCGCCTCCGCCTCTGTTAGCATTGCAGTTAATTTTCGCTGCCATATTTTGCTGTTGTTTTGCCTATTTATTTGCAAACTGCAGATGCGGTTCGAATGTGCGCGCGGGCGCACACAGCAAGTGGCTAAATTTGGCTAAAACTGTGCACATGGCGAAAAATGGGAAGGGGACTAACGGCGATTTGAGTTATGACTTTATTTTCACCATGAAATGCTGTTGTTGTTGTTGTATTTAAGAGGTTTTACACTTTTGTGCATTCGGCTCGTCTCATGAACTGCAACTGAATCGGTAAATTTCAGCTCCCGAACAATTTCAGTGTCTGAAAATGCTACCCTTTGTTTGCTTACGCGCAACTAGCAAGCTGTCAAAATTTGAGATTTCAAAACTTTTCGGTCGTTGAGATCGGCGGGCTCAAAAATGCGAAGTGATACGATCCGTTCCAGCAAATTGCAAATGCAGCGGAATTTCCTTGTTCTGCATATTTGCATCCAGAAACTACCGCGGTCGACGTTGGACAATCTTATGCAATCCTACACCCGTTTGCATTCAATCTAATCGAGTTGGCAGCTCAAGGAATGCGGATTTGTTTTCCGATTCCTTCTTCACGCAACCGCTTGCCATTAAATGTACAGCCAACCTAGCATCAAGTTCGCCATGATCATGAAACAACCCCTTGCAGTAATGACGCAAGCTGTGCAGCTCACAGAGTCACTCTGCCACCACCATCGCCGCCTACTGATGGCCCGGTATTTTCCATCAATTAAACCTACCTGCCGGCCTGCGGGCGCAGGCGCGCATCATCCAAGTAGGCGCATCACAACACAAGTTCAACCGTTTGTCTTTTCAAGCGCAAATCATAATTCATGCGTGATTCATCAATCGGAAATGAAACGTTTCGCAGTGATTCATAAGGATGGGCTGTTTCGCACGAACGTCATTGTAGGCTTGCACCGTTGTGACGTTTACAACAAGGGGTTTCTTCGATAAATCGATGAATCAGCCCGGGCATGATGACCTGGAATCGGAGAGACCTCAGATCTTTTATTGTACTCTTGTTTTCCTCGAACTTCTGCAACTGGGTCACGCATTCGGCAGGCAGGCAAAACAACCCACTTACGTGCGTATTTGCGAGAAGAAAAGTAAATTTCACAGCAATCTGTTTTTACACATTCTGGCCGCAGAGTGCAGTTGCAAAACAAATTAATAAAAGACTAACTATTCCCAAGAGCGGGCAACCTTTTCAGCGAAGCGCGACGACGCCGATGATGATGATGATGACGACATTTTGAGTGAGTTTTTTTTTCTATCCTCCATCCAGCAGCAGCAGCAGGCATGGAGCCAATTAAGCCGGAACCTTGGAAATGCAGTTCCTCTCGCCGTCGGTGAGATATTTTCCCTCAATCATTTCCATTTTCGGATGAAATTTGCACAATAATTGACACCCGGACCCGGTTGATGGTTGACCGTCAAGGAATTTGCCATTTGTGGCAAAAGTCACAACATTCTAGCGCTCTGTAAATAATTAGTGGGCGCTTAGCAACGGCAGCTGGGCAACTTTGATGGATTTTTAAATAAATCATCATCATAGCGCTCCCCGCTAGCTGAGTGGTGCGGGGTCGATCGCTTTGCATTGTCAAGTTATTTTGCTTGAAAAGTAGTAATTTTCTTGCCATTGTTACGAAAAATTGCCAGGTTTTGACCACCTATAACTCTGTCAATAGCAAATGGATTTTAATTGTAAACAAGCCAATTGATTGGATCAATCGATATCTACGAATCATCTAAAATGAACACTTTATAAATTTTCAATAGGTCACTACTGAAAATTATACAAATGTCCATCTGTTGCAACGGTTATCAAAATTATCCCTAACACAGTTTTCGAAATCGAATTACATCCGGTCTCGCCGAACGGTGCTTACTGAATCCCCGTGTGTGGTGGTGTCCGGTTGGTCGTCATCAACTGCAGCAGCAGCAGCAGTGCTGTCGGCGTGTGGCGTTGAACATTGTTCTCCCGTACACAACAAAAGGCTGCCCGCAAGCAGCGAGCGGCAGCCCACATGAGCGTCCATTCACCGAAGAAGGAGGAAGAAGCCACACCACTACTGATCGGATTCAGTAGCTCTTCGTGAGTCGCTGTGTGCCGTCTGTGTCAAGCACGTCACTCTCGTTCCAAACAGCATACAGCTCGCCAGTTTCATCTGTGTTGAACACCCCAGCTCAGCCACTCAATCATGACGACAACACGGTCCTTTTCAATCACCGAGTGGTGTCCGGCCATCATCAGCAGCAACAGCAGCAGTGCTTGCGGCGCGTGGCGTTGTACACTTTTCTCCAGTACACAACGAAACGCAATCAGCTAGCTATCAAGACTACCCTCAAGAGCCCTCGATTCGCCGAAGAAGGAGCAAGAAGCCGCACCGCTACTGATCGAAAACAGACGTAAATCTTTAAATATGTTTTTCTTAAAAATATAGTCACGGAAATCACAATCGATTCACGAACTATTCGTGCAAAAAAAGCTTGCTTGGCACGAATCAAACATTGTTGCATACAAGTTCGATAGAACGTATGGAAACGGCAAAGTGATCCGCGATGCCAGCGCTGTGGTGAAGGATTCGCGAAACTAACGTTATTAAACGTTAAATGCGTGTACGAGGATTGAGAAGAAAGAGTTACGTCTGTTTGTCTGTGGAATCACCTTCCGATCAAAATATTGTTCGATGTTACGTAAGTCACCCGATTTCTATGGAGATGCCGTTTGTCTTAAGTAACAGCGCAGAGAAACCCGAGAAAAGTGTACATCCGTCGCTTTACTTTCTCGTTTTTAAATTTAACAAAATCGAACTGTTTTTGCTAAAACTGATGATGATAATTCTCCCGAATATCCTGGTAAATACTGACCTTAAGTAACATTATGGGTCCGCCAAACTGGTTCAAAAACCAGTATTTTTTAACATGAAAGCTAGCGATGATCGTATCACAGACAAACAGACGAAATTCTTTCTCCTCAAGTCGTAAACGCATTTAACGTTAAATTTAAATATTATTAGTTGCGCGAATCCTTCACAACAGCGCTGGCAACGCGGATCACTCTGACGTTTCCATACATTCAATCGAACTTGCATGCAACATTGTTTGAAACCTGGCAAGCAAGCGTGTTTCTCTGTGATCGTATGATTAAAACACTAATTAAAAGGATCAATATTGCTATCAGTATGAGATTGTATGTGTTTAATTGTAAATAGGAAAAACTTTTCTGTAATCAAAACAAAATCATGTTTTTCTCGGATCGGTGCGAATGTTACTTTCGACGTAATGACAATTTGCTCTTGAAGTGATCGCATAAGCAGGCGGTAAATTTGTTATCTTCCGGGCTTCCGATTCGTGAAATAACGGATTTCAAGGTTATGTCAATACATTACCAGGTATTTTCAGCACACAGATTGATAAAAGAAGCTTTTCTCAAGCATCTAATACGACAAACACAACATTCTTGTTGGTTATGTGGTCAAATTATTAACGAAAGAGAAAGTCGACGAAGAGAATCCATCAATTAGGACCTAAAGCAATGTTCAGATTGATAAGTTTCAAAAATGGTCTGTCAATGGTGGTAAGCCGGTATTATCCTCGGATTAAATCCCGATCAAGAATGTTCGCCTGCTTTGATGTTGACATCAGAGTTAATCAACACGACTCTTTTGGAAAACATTTTGCAGATCATCCAAACAGGGTCGGTATCAAAAGTTAGTCTGAGTAGGAGCTTACCGCCATAATTGTTTTCAAAAACAGCCCCAACTTTACTCATTAATAGGCACTTTCAAGTTAGTGTGTAGTAAAAGTGTGGATAACTGTGACCTGGAGGTGTTACATTGTCACAGATGTTACCACTATACAACTAATAGAAAACTAAAGAGAAACTAATGTCACGACATTTTCGCCCATAATATTTTCATGACATTTACCACCACTGCTGTCACCTGGAAACTTCGGATCTGATCCGTTGCGGAAAATCTGACAGTTAGACAATACTGCCACTTTGTTCGAAGGTTTCCAATCCGGATGCATTGTTCGCCGCACCTAAGAGTATAGGTTTTTTTTTCTATGCACCACCAATGTAGAGGGCGCCAACCAAACAACCAAACCGTTTGTTTACATCAGGATATGGATTTTTTGCAACGCAAATTAAAGAATTTTTCACTGAAAATCTTGCCAATTTCCACCGGTAAATGTCTTGTTTTACGATTTTCCACAGATTTGAACTGATTTCACCTTAAGTCTCGATGAACATTTCAAATGGTCATATCTGCTTTGATCGATTCTTTTCATTGACTTTCTCTTTTCGTGACCACTGCTATGCTAACAGATTTCGCGCTAATTCTACCACACAGTTTGATAGAGGAGGTTGTTATTTAGCGTCCAAAACGTCAAATACAACAGGGAAAGGTTTTGCAGCTGAGTTATTGACGAAAGAGAAAGTCGATGAAGAGAATCGATCAATGCAGATAGGACCTTTTGAAATGTTTA